AGATACAACCTTTTGTAGCTACAAAAGCAATCACAGAACCCACAGAAATGACTAAACATGGCTTTGAATTATTACTTCCATTAGCAGAGGTAAAACTCAGTCATGAAACTTCCTTTCTCGGGAGGATTATAAAAAAAAAAGTGACCTAATGAAGTCTGAGTTACGGGTTAGAGGGAGACAGTTGGCTTTTTTACAGCTGTTCCCTGTGCTCCATTTTATGGAACCTGCAGTTCAGTCATCCCCCAAATATTTCATACTTTCCTTTGGGTGGGCATGTTGTGTCTTGTGCCAGGGACTACAGCTGGAAATATGAGTGCATGTGGCTTCAGTGCCCACGTGTGAGAACATGCATCCAGCACATCACAGATCCCCATATATATGCATTTATTTATTTAACAGGATAGCACAGTTGGTTAAATGAAATATGCTGTGCATAAGCACTCCAAACTTATACTTGATTTTTTTCCCTTTAGCATGTATTTCCCTCTACTTCAGAAGATGGCATTGAGCGTACATAATTACTAATTAAATTCCTACAACAATAATAAAACTATGTCCTTAAGGATGTAACAGATAAACACTGATATGCAAACAGACTACATCACCAGTGACATCTTATTTCTCGACCAGCTTGGAGGAAGAAAATCTTCCCCAAAACAACCATATCACATCAAAGTAGAACACAAGGCAAGATGTTCCCCTGGCAGGAAGATGCAGCAGGCGAAGTTTCTGAGCACAGGGAGATGCCATGTTCAACCCCCCAGCGATGGCTTTTAAACATATTGGGCACCTCTGCCTGCAATTTCACTACTGAATTTGGAAGTCTCCAGTGGCTTCAACATTCTTCTGTCTCTCTAACAACACATTTGGCTCTTTGATGATCTGGCTGTGTAGGTTCCCTTTGCAATTTACATTAAGGAAAACAACAGCTATTTTAAAAGAACTTCCTTGAAAAGTTGGCAAAGCATTTGCTGTTAAACAAAGGGATGGCTCAGTTCTGCCATCCCTGCAAGCAAAACTCCTCTACTGCAATGCCTTCGATACCACACGAACATGTAGAACTCCTGAAGGACTGGCAGAAGTTAAAATATGTACATAATGTAATGCAAAAAGCAGTTATGGAAGGCCCTGTCCCGTTAGGGATTTTTTCACAGCCTGCAGGAACATTTGGCTCAGGCCATGTTGGATGAAGAAGGCTAAATCTTGCATAATCTATGGGAAATCATACATTTTCGAAGAGTATCAGAAATAATTTCCAACAGGATTTCATTAAAGGCAACAACAGACTTCAAAGGAAAAGAATGCTTAATTGTGACACAGTTTCTTACTTACTGTCAAAACCACCATGATTCGATTGTGTCCACAGAMTAAATCCCACTGTGGTTTTTGTCTGTATTTTAATTTTCACATTAACTTCTCCTGACATATGACTTGCCCGTGCATCTGCAAGGACGATGAGTTTTCCAAGACCCAAGAAAGATATGGTCACTGCTATTTCACCGCACTGGTGAAAGACAACTGCTACAAATTTCTTCAGTGAACTCAATGCACAAAGAGGTAATTGGGACAGAAGAATATTAATCTCCCCTAWGAATTTTTATGTAAATGGCAAACAATGCTCATTTATTCCATCCAGTCCAAAATACTTTGGAATACAGGAAGGGAACACTGGTGGTACATAGCACGTGCAGCTGTACTCTTGAATCCATGTGCATTTGTAATTCTGGTCTTGTAACTCCWAACCTGAAATATGCCCCAAGTTATTATAATCGTTCACTCACTTTACACAGATGATGCAACTGGTTTGCTGTGAGAGATGGATATCTGACTCAGGCAGGGCTTGGAAAAGCCTTTGGGATGCTTTAGACAAAAGGGTTTTGCTGTTGTGAGAAGCAGGATTGCCGGGCTGGCTGCTCCCAGGTGAACAACCTGGCAGGGGAGCATCCCCCAAAGGCTTCCAACACCTGGGTCAGACAATCAGCACTGTTCAAAAGTGAACGGTCCTCTTTGGCTCATTGAAAGGAAAACTTCATGGGTTACAATATAAGGTTTGGGGTTTATTGTTCCTGTAACTTAACCCTCAAAAGAGCCACCTGGAGGAGTTCCAAAGGCGGTGTGAAACTGARCCATTAAACGGAGATCTGACTAATTCCTGCTTTAAGAAAAGTCCTATTGCCTGCTTCACAACCACAGGGCTCTTTAAAATCCACGTAGAAACACTCACCTGGATCCACAAGGGCCTTTTGAAAGGTTTGCTGCGTTTCTTTTTCCCTTTTAACATCTCAATTTTTCATCCAGGTGTTGTTTTCTACTGAGCTTTCTATAAATTCAACTTAACAGTGCCAAATGCCATTACACTTCATTGTTTAGGGTATCTTTTTTTTCTTTTTCCTACATGAATGTGTCCAATTTAAGCTTGGAGCYCGCCCTTAAAACTAGCTGTTAAAATTCCTAAGCAAATGGGTGTTTTAATGGAAAGGCTGACATGGTCTTAACTGTGGGAGCGTGAATGGCTCCACTACTTGAGATTACTCAAGTCCATGTAGAATACAAATGCAATACAGGACCACAGGTTCAGATCTTTGATCTCCTTTTTTGCAGAGGCTGTGATGTATAAAGCCAATTCCACTGTGCAGACAGTACCACACTGAATATAAATTATCCTTTAACTATAGCGAGGCTCACATTTTAAAGAATTGCTGCAAGAATGAACAATGCAGCCATGAAGTAGAGTTCTACTGTAGCAAAAAATACACACCAAGACTTGCACGGATAACCATGGCTCCAAAACACAAAATTTCTTCCACAGCTGTTATTTGATATAAATAGAGWAAAATCTGGAGTATTGGACATACAGAAGCACAGTTAAAGAGCACTGCTTGCTCTTTCCATTAAAAAAGTGAGCTAGGAATACTTGCTTTATTGCCCAGATTAAGCATCATTCCCCTAAGAGGCATAAAAAAATTATTTTAAAATGTGGAAACCAAYAGTCTCTACTGAATATGGCTTGAAATTTAAACATGTCTTTTCCAGATATCTCTTTAGAGGAAGAACCYTCTGCCTACTGAGCTAACACTAAGCTCCCTGGAGTTCAGCCATGAATATTCTAAACCTATCTCTTACAATTCAAGAAAAGTTGCCTTTTGCCAAAATAAAATGCTTAAGAGGAATTCAATATGCTTACACTGYTTTTCTTCATTTTATTTAAAATAAGTGTTTCCGTCTCAACTTTATGCCAAATACACAGCAAGAGAGAGACTGAGTTCTGGCAATATTACCTGAGATTCTATATACAAATGGGAAAACAAATTACTTCTGAGAACATCACATATTCAGGGTTGGTTTGCTGTATAGAGATTTGCATTTAACCAACTCTCTTGCAGTTACAGATAGGTACTGCTGAGGATTCTCACAGGAATTTCTCTGCTGTTTACATCAGTTATAACTTAGGTGGTGGTTCACCCATGGTGCTTCCTCGCTCTGGGATGTTTCTCTGCACACCAACTTTGTTTGTGTGTSTGGAAATGTTAGTAAATAAATAAATAAATGAGTAACTTTCTTCCTTATCTTACCTCTTTTGACCTGGGCAATCTGGCAGATCAATGCTACTTGCACTGCAGACAAGCAAAAAGTGAAAATTTATCTTTCACTTAATCTTTTTGTTCTCTTAGGCTTCCTTTCAGTAAGGCTTGAAGAAGGTGCTCTTTGTGGCTGTTCTCCGTGCCAGAATACAACCGAGCACAAAAAGAATGCAAGGGTGAGCTGATAGTATCTACTGTCCTCAGCTCTGCTTTGGTTCAATAAACTTGAACATCTTCTCCCCTCCTTTGCCAATTGAGATAAGCAACAACAATTACTCAAAATGTATTATCAACTGATCCTGTTCAAAAAGGCAGGATCAGCTGAGCCGACTGCATCTCTCCCAGCCTCAGTTTCCTTCAGATCCGAGGGGGGAAATAGGTCCTTGTTTGCCTCTTGCCATGCACCTCACATCTACTTCTTACAGGCAGCTACACCCAGCTTGCAAAAGGAGAGTGAGATRAATCCTTTGCCTTCCACATCGCCTGCAAGGTTTCTGCCTGTAGCCAGCAGGCTGCAAGCTCTGTACCATGATGGCAAAAGTCACAAACGAACCATCCTTCTCTCCCCAAAACGATCACATTCTCTCCTTCTCTGTCTGTGCTCTCCTCTCTCTTTGCCTTTCTGTGGTCTCCATAGCTGAAACCAAGAATTCACTGGGCATCACTGCAATGCCTCTAACCAATTCTAAATGTATCCAGAGMTTGAGTCAATTAAAATACATTTCAGCTTCATCTGTTTTTTATCCCATTCCAGCACTCCACATACACAGCAACTTTAAGCTTACAGACATCCCTTCATGGTTCAAGAAAATCCTTCAATCAAAGAACTTCATTTACAATCCAGCATAGTTTTTGCTTTCTCTGCTCWCCACAGCAGCCTGGCATTTTGATGCAATCCTCATTTAATGCAATCTCCATTACAGGATTATGATCACATCAATAAAATGTTCCATATGTTTTTTTTTTTTTCGCATCCCTCTCCCCCCCCTCATTAATAGTAGGCACTATATCTGCAAAAAAAACAACAAATCAAACAGGCTGATGGGATGCYCTAGAGAGGTAGCGGGGGGTACACATTCAACAAAATGCAGCAGCCAATGCAAACTGCCCATCAGAGACWGAGCCCGTGGATCTCCTCATTCCTGAGCTATGCGAGTTGCTCACTGTCCGCGCCGCGAGCACAGATCCTCACCGAGCTGTGTTATCAGACTAAAAATAAATGCAGCTTCTGCAATCACTTGTGAGCTCCGTGTACTTTTCACAGGAGCAGACTTGCATTTTACTTGATCGGTTCCAACCTATCCATTCTGTTCTGGATGAACCGCTGAGGCTCTGCTTCCAAGGGAGGGGGGATGCTGGGCAAAATATATCATATAAAAGGATATAAAAATCCCCCTTTTCCCCAAGCCCCCTTCTTACCTTCAGCGCCTTCTCTGCACAAGATGCCAATCTACATGGGCTCCTCAGCACATCATCAAGGCGTTCAGAGTAGTGAAGGCTGCCCCACTGCATGGAAGTTAGACCGCTTTGCAACAGCAAATCCTCGATCCAAAGCACCAGCCGCTTCTTCCCATGCAGTGTGCCGAGCACGAATCACACGCGGCTTCCACATAGGGAATAAAATCGTAAAAGAAAGGGAAAAAAAAAAAAAAAAAAAAAAGGTATCCTAACTTTTAGGTAACCTGAGTTTGTTTTATTTCTGTTGGGTTTAGTCGATTATCTGCTTTCGCAGCCGCGAGAGGATGGAAAGGCGGTCGCGCTCTGGCAGCCCGGCACCAGTCCGCAGAGGTCCGGCCGCGTAACCCAAGTTGCGCGGAGAGACTCTGAACTCGGCGCGGCTCCGCAGCGCAGCCCGGCAGCCCT